GAGGTGACCTTGATAACATATGTCAAAATTGTTGAGATCGGAAAATAGTCCGTATAACTGCATAATTACCATATTTTTAAACGCCGAAAAGAATTTTACGCAATCTGATAGAAAAAAAGGAAGAAACGATGCGACATTATTTTTATATATTATGGAACGTATAGATGATATCTTCGGCATTCGCACCGAGAAGTAGAATTTATTTGTTAAACTCAAAATGCTCTTCTCTTTTAAACATCACTTTATTCATCACGTTTCTTTCATGTAAAAACACTTTGACAAAAGTAACGATTATTATTGGCAGAATTGTTTTATGTGATCTTTCATTTTCTGACAGGTTATAACGTCTCAGCAGAGCTATTAACAGAAATGATATTTAACACACGATACACTGTAAGTTCATCATCACCTTAACGAGAGATAGAAGAGTATATTTATGTACGCACGTGTTATTTTTGACGCGTAATTTTTTACGTTCCTCTTCACTTAATTATCGAACCTTTTTCTGATCCCGATATCGTCAAGTGTTATAGATATTGTGTGAACTGTTGCGAATCAAGTTTTAAAAAAACGTCACGATACAGAGTACATAAAAACACATTTTATCGTTATTTTTACAATAAGTGTTATTTATTCTTTTTTTTACGATTTGTGAACAAGAACAGAAGAAAAGAGAATGTGTATCGCGCACATTGGCGCTTTCGATATGTGGCAGCGCATTTCTGTGCATTTCGCGGTCGAAGTTCTCGATAAATATTCATCTTGCTTTTGCTGAACAGGAGCCTCACCTCTCACTGAGCGATGACGGATACAGATGCGATTTATCGACAAGTGCTTGGATACTCGATTTCGTCGGACGCGAGACTGAGAGACGCGGAGCATATTCTCGGGATAAGGAAGATGCGCTCGCGTCTTTCTTGTCGTGTCTAGACGCGACAGGAAAATCCACTCTTTTCATTCTCCGGAAAACGCTTATCGCGTGTATGCATGCGAGTGAAAGAAACATTTCTCTCGCTCTTGCTCACCGTGTCTCTCCGTCTCTCGGATCTTGTCACTCGCTGTTCCGAACGATCGATCTCTGAATCGTGCTTATATGCTTGTAGAAGCTTCGATCTCCTATCAAAATAGAGGTGACTAGGTTTTAGACCTTAGTTTATTCGTCACAACATTGGGACGTATCGAGCCAAGTGCCGCTACGATTGTTTATGAGATGAGGTCGTCAAACGCTTGTATTGTATTTTATCAGCTAATAATGAGATTACTATGACTCGTCATAATTTCAGTTAATTGATTAATAATCCTATTCATCGTCGATGCGTTAAACTGACCGGTTTAAACCGGATGCGAAAAAACATTGATAATGTGTTCTGACAACACATGTTAGGTTCGATTAAATCGGGGGAAACGTTTGTTGGCAATAAGTTAGAAATAATTGGTATCATTGTCATAACATACAAAAAACTAAAACGACATGTGTTTGATTCCATTCGTGTGTTCGATAACACATCTGTGATTACGTGTGTTGTTATTAACAATGTCGCACTTGGTCTAAACATAGACTTGGTCTAGCTTAGAGATCTTTAAACGCTCTTTCTGACAGATAATGTGAACACGGCAATATGGTCCGAATTTAATACAATTTGGTTGTTTACGAATATCATAATGTATAATAACGGTGTAGGTATTGCAATTTGTTATTCACATCCCGCTGCATCATTTCGGTGCGATATGTATATAATAATAATGTGTGTGTACCTCGCTCTTAAGGAACTCCGTTCCGCGAAACAATAAATTCTGTTGCATTTTCCGACTCTTGATATGTGCGAGGATAAGGATAAAAGCGGACGATGAAAATTTACGACACACTAAGAATCTTGGTCTTGTTTATTTTCTTTTCTGTTCGCTTGCCATTCATCATGCTGTCGCGCTGCGTGCCAAAATCAAACAAAAACGCAAGTGAATACGCCGAAAATACGTAATTGAGCTGCGCGGAAATGACGTGTGAGAGATGTCTTGTTCAAACGTAACTTGCCATCATCCGAATGAATTGATCGAAAACTTTCTCATGACACAACAGTAGGATAAAGTCTTTTTTATTGTCATATTGTCGTAATCGTAGTTCACCATTGTGGACTTGTACAAAAATATTTTACAAACAAAAGTGTAATTTTTTAAAAATATTTTAATATCCTTTTATACGATGAGAATCACGCGCCATGTTACATTGAAATTAAAATATCAATTAAATTAGTTTCCAATTAACTCTTCGTAGATTTCCAAAACAGCTTGCTAGTTGGACTGACTGAGTCTGTGAGACTCACGCGACTTTAAAATTGAATGTGTGATTTTATCTAGAAACAACGGTTTGAAATTTTTGAATGAATCTGAAAGACCCATGTCAGTCTAGGAAGGGTTAATTATCTTTTAAAAAATATGTTATTTGTGTGAGAGATAGAAATTTTTTAATTAATATTTCGTGTAAGAGGCGAACAGCCAGTTTGCTGCATCGAGCTGTCGATAACAATAGGATGGTAAGATGAGACGAGTCGCGACGTCGCTTAACAGATAGGAAACAGATCGAGATGCTGCCGTGTAACAATCGAGGATACACTGCCGGCAGGACGGATTGCGTGCGTTTGCCATTTGGCGAACAATGAGCCGCGGCCGACCTCTGAACAGAGAGACGGAATATGAGTGGTCCCTTTCCACGGAGTCGCATGTGATATCGGAAAATCAGGAAGAGCTTCAAGCCGTGACAATTTGTTCCGGACATATTGCTCCTAGTAAAATTCTTTTCGTCGAACTGCTGCGTCGTCAAATGACGATGGTGCTGCTCCGGATAAAACTTTTATTTGTCAAGGTGCGTCATTATTTGTGTAGAGGTAGGTTTAATCGCAGAAACGACGCGGATGACAGTTGCTAAAGTTTTTTTTATGTTTGCTTTTTATATATACCAAACAAACAGCAAAATAATATGCAGAAAATGTTCCGTAGAATGCCTGTCACATTTTGAAAAATAAAGTATTCAGTATCTAATGAAAATTTTGAAACATTAAAATCAATATTTCTCTTTAATTAATCAGTTTAGTATCAACCCGATTTTACATTCTTCATCATGTGATCACACAAATTTAGTATTTTAGAAAAAAAAGTGAGATTATTACTTTAAATACAATCAATCATGAAAGTATCGGTAGTTTTTATTTTTTTACGTCTACATCGTGCTTACGTAAATCGGTCAATGCCTTTACATCACTACGCGGACTATGCGGTTACATGGTTTGGCATGACATTGCGTCACGTGATCAACGTATCCACACACACACACACCCTATCTACTTTACCTATTTATCTACAGATATAGCATATTAGGTTGTCCTTTCCTTTTGAGCATCCTGGTCTCTCTCTCTCTTTCTCTCTATTGCGGAAATAGAGAGTGGCAGTATGTTCCGGTTAGCCGTGTACTTCGTCTTCGGACACAATTTTCGATCGAACAAAGTCTCTGCGTTCCTATCGTGCCGCGGTAGTGCGATTCGATTAAATTTCCCGGGGATTCTGTGTGGTTACAGAAGTCTAGTAACTGACATTCGAACGTTCGTCCTGCGGTCAGTGGCTGTTATGTAATAAATGTTCGGCGATCTTCGGTAATTGCCCGAAGTTTAATCGCTCGAATATATGCGATCTCTGACCTTACACACTACTATCGTAGTAACACTCTATTTGCAAACGTACGTATATACTTAAACTTCTTATTCTGTGACCTTGCAACGCGATTATATGTATCTTTTTCTAGATTCTCTCTATGAGTTTTCTCTTTTACGGTCATACACTGAAGACAATGAGTGTATAATACTGAATTCTTTTTTGTGTAGAAATAAGTAATTTATGTTTTTTTCCGAAAAAGCAACGTAAATATCTGTTTATTACGCAGATATTATTTATATAGAAACACAGACGGCACATTTAATTTTCTGAGATCTTTTGACGAGAAGAAGCAAAACTAAATGTTAAACTTTTACATACGCCGCGTAGTTTGCTATGCCGCAACGATTTTTGTTTTTCGCCAGTCGCATATAGCCATTTTCACCCCAACTAGAACCCCACCAGTTCTTCAAGATCCATTCGGTCGGTGTATAACCAACGATCAGCATAGCATGGTTTACCGTGTCCGAGCTGCATTGATGGTCATCGTAAACGCCTTTACTGTGAATGAAGATAGAAAGAGACAATATGGATTAAAAATTATAAAAATTATCATGTTACAGTCTGTATTCTCGTTTCTCTTTTATCGATAGTGTGTGTTCATTAGTAGACCGAAAATCTATAGTACATGTGATGTGAACTGTACACTAAACGCCTACTTGTATATTTACAAAAGAAGAATTTTATAATTTTTTCAATTTTTGAGATATGTAAAAACTTGTCATAATTTTTTTTCTCACATAGACGCAAAAAACATTAACAATTCAGATGATACATTTCCAACACTGAAAAACATTTTCATCTGTATATAAAAAATCTAATATGTTAAATTAAAGTTCAAAACAAAAGACAGAGAAGACGAATATATCGCACGCGTAAGCAGTATATTTAGAAAGCGTTAATAACCGACATTGAACTTACGCGAACTGTGCGTAAGATTACGTGCATCGTTTGCATATCGATATCACGGTTTTTGACTGACATTCCTTATTTGTTTTTTATTGTAAGCTTACAAAATAACATCTTCAATCTCAAATCGCTATCGCGTTTTAATGAGTTTTTATTATCTGTCGAAAACATACAATGAGAAAAAAATTAAGCGCAGTTCGGTACGGGGCCCTTTGGAATGACACGAGTTCAACAGCTGCACTTTGGTATTTCAAGGGTCATCGAATTGAAGATGTGCTACAAAAGGTTATCATCCGATTCGACTAATTTCTTCAACTGTATCTTCGGCAGGGGTCCGACCAAATTTTTCAATCTTCTCTTTATAAACTTTCGTCATTACCTTCTCGCATAACATCGGTTACTTAAATATAATTTATAGATTTAAATATAAAAAATATAAATAAACTTATAAACTTTCCACAAAAGACGATGTTTACTGTCAAGGAGTTACTTCTATATTTTAACTACTTACTGTGCAGAATTATTACTCGATTAGTTATCTATACGAAAAAAATTGTTTGTTACAGCCGTTCGACGATTATAAGTTTTTGCTTTTTTGTTTTTGTTTTTGTTTTTTTGTTTTTGATTTTATAACAACGTCGATATTTTTTTGTGCGAATATTTTTCACGATTAGTTTTCTTGTTTGCTTCACAAAAATCTACCGATCTTTACTAGTGCTGGAAATTCTAACAAATGCAAAATTCTGTAAGTGATAACATAATAAATATCAGGTATCTAAAATTATCGGGTATTTCGCGAACGTTAAAGATACATTTGTTGCATTTCGCGCATACGTCATCGGCTTGTTAGCAGTAATTCGCAGTAACACAGTTTTGTGTGTCGAAGCAAATAAAATACTCACTGATAAAGTTGAAACGTCTTCGGACTGGCGTTTAAAGAGGCAGCTATGGGACCAATGGTAGCTACAGCCACTTCCAGAGCCTTCTCGTCCCGTGCCGGCAAAATTGCCCATGAAGTTATATTAACGACACTGTTGTCTCTTTTAAATCTGCATTTTCCTTGCTATATAATTAAAGCGTACACATAAAAGGCGATTGAATTAAATATAAATAAATTTGTTAATAATTAATATTAACACAACATAACATAGCTCAATATTATTTAATAGTTTTTACTTTTAATAGATTAACTTCTTTATACAGATTAAAAATATATTAGAATATTATTTATTATAATTGCAAAAAAAGAAACATTTGAAACATTTGAAACTTTTATTTTAAACTTTTGATATTTATAGCTTAGTTTTCCTACTGTTAGTTCTATTTTTTTAGATATTAGCGTAATAAACTGTTTATTAAGTATATAATTATAAAAACACGCAAATTATTAATAAAAATTTATTAAGTAATAAATATATATACGCACACACAATGCGCTTTTTTTATTTGAATGAAATGTCATTCTGCTGATATCGCTTAATTAAGAGAAATAAGTTTAATGGAAAAAGATTGAGATAATCAAGAACACTCAAGAATCTTGTGTGGGTTCCCATGTTTGTTGACATTATTAAACTGGAGCGTATGTCATACGCTACTTTCTGATTGCATCTTGACCTTATGACACTTCAGTATCAAATTAACCGGATCAGATAAATGCGCATTATTTTTATCGCTTGATAAAATTTTTTATGAGTTTCTTTAAATTCTACAAAACATATAATTATTTCTACAATGCTATTAATGTAGAAAATGAGATATCGTCACAGAGTCAAATTACACAAGATTATTGAGTTATTGGTGTGTGACAGTTGTAATTTGAATCTTTCTTACTGCAATCATCTACGAAGAAAAAGAGTCTCTTACCGATATTTTTGACTCAATGAAATTCGTGAAATAATTACAGACAAAACCTTGACGTTTACGTCTTTATCGCGACAAATTTGTACTGTCAGCGTCTTTGTTCAATGTAATGCAATAACATGCGTCGCGGTAGCAAAAATCGAAAAACCAAATTTTTTGTACAGGTAATTACTTATTTTTTAATTTTGAAAGAAATCAACTGTGTGTGTTGAATATTAAGAGTTTTTTGAACTTTTGTTTGCGCGCGCATATTTCAGTAAATAGAAAAATTTTCTTTGTAAAGACAAAAGAACGTTGACGATGTTACACATTTGCAATGTTTTGCAAATCGTGCATAATATATGATACAAAATCTACAGTTTATTTACAGTGTCGCATCGCGGAATATCGAATCATGAGTGATCAAAAAAAAAAGAAACATACCTCGGCGTTGTATGGATACAAAGATCTGGCCATGAGACCTTTCGACTTTTCCAGATATCTCAAAGTGTTTCTGAGAGAACCGCCAGTGCAACCGAGATTGCCGGTTGATGTGCTGCAATCCACCAACTGTTGTACGCTCAGAGGTATCAGCTGGCCGGTGTGCTTAAAAATCTGTCCCTCAATACTTTCGGCAATGGAGTAAGCATAGCAACTCCCGCAGTTCAGTTGATCTACTGGCGAAGTTACAAAGCCGTGTTCTCGCCAATCCACGCGTTTTGGTATGTTACGTGGATTATGCAGAATCGCCGATACCAAATGATTCGGTAACCGGCGCCTTCGACTTGGCTTTAATTTCACCTAATGCAAGTTTGATAAGAAGAATAATACATATTTTGCAAATGCGCTAATAAGTAGTAAGCTAAATATTCAATAAGTAATTTTTTTATACAATAGCGTTAGAAAGAGTTTAATTACCATGTCGCGCATGTACTGTCGAGTGTCAAGATCGGCGATATGGTTATCTCGCAGTGTGTAATTATGATGTCCAGCGGCAGCCATTAGATTGTGTTTGTAGATCTCCACAAGATTTTGTTCCCAAATCAATCGTTTTGCGTTTTCCGCATTTCCCGTATAGGATTTATTAAACTGTATCTGTTCAATGTGAAATATATTTTACACACGAGCAATTGCAAACGTTCTAACTGATGATAAATAACGAAAACAGATTCTTCTCATTGTATGCATATATATATATTATATTATAACGTATAATAGAGTGTATATAATATATATACGTATGAGATTTATAAATATTATATTTATAAATATAATGTTTTTTTAAATTACTAATTACTTTTATAAAAGAATTACAATGAACAAGAATAGTTTGAATTTTACGGATAATGTTACCTTGTAATCTTGCCAATACTGATCTAACTTTTCTGAAATTTCCGGCGGCAAAGTGTGCCCGTGAAACAGCTGAATCGCGCGTATTTCAAATAGAATTAACATAAAAAACAACAATGTATATAATCGCAAATACATGACGTAATTTAAATGTGTGAGTAAGTAATATTTTATTTTATACTTAATTCACGCACACATACACACACACAGTAAGTCTCCCGAGTGTGGCAGTTGTGTCGACGAATTTTCCAATACTGCACGAATCCATAATTTAACGTTGTGATAACAGACAATCAGTGTCAGCGTATTCGCAAATTACATCACCAAACAATCATCTTTGTTATGCTGCGATGTATATTTATTTTATCAAATATGCGTACAATGCAATATTTGCAGTAAATCGTCTTCTCTCATTAAATGGACATGTCAATATCAAATTTTAACGTGTGAATAGTCAAATAGCTGAATAGTTGAATAAGTTAAATATTTCTTAGTACGATTTTACATAATTTAAAACAGTTTACAAAGCAATTATTAGAATCTGCATATAAAATATTATAATTTGAGCAATAACGTCTAGGGAATGAATTTTGAGAGAAAATCGTTTATTCGCTCGAGCACTAAACACGAAAATAATTCTAAACTGCTAATTTCTGTTTCTTCAATGTAGCAGACAGATCCACTTAATACATACTTATAGTCTTGAGCGTTAATTATTTCAGACTACACAAATCGCGTCATGCTATAAAAATAGAATAATTTAATACAATATTTTTTACAATTTGCTGTTATCATTTCTGCGTGATAAGTCATTATACAGACAATGGCGTCGCGCGGCTTATTGCGTTCGCACTTACACATTGAAATTGTGACAATAATATGTACTAATAATACTTCAATACGCGTTTAGCAGAACGCAAACCCGTTTACGCCTCGTGCCTTTTGTGCAACTCTTTTATTTAATAGTTTTTTTCTTAGAAATTCCTAATGTGATTCACAGAGCTTTCTATTTGAAAGATCACGGTTAATCAGCTAACATCGTCGCGTATCCGCAAGATGGCGACAGTCGTAAGTGAGACGGCGCCGTTGCAAGCGACGCGAACGCGGTGCTTGCCGACGAATAGTTCGCGTAGTATCGGTACGCGCTCGCGTCATGCTCGTCTCGTGTTAGTGATCGTCTCGTTCGCGCACTTCTTCTTGCGCCAACTTCATTACACAGTCGTCATCGTCCGTTTCGTCGTCGTCAATCTTGTCACAAGGTAAATTGCAAAGAAGACACGCGCGCCGAGGCGATGGAACGTGCGTCTTATTCGACGAGGAACGTTACGAAGCTGCGCACGCGTGCGGCCACCGTTGCGAAAGCCGCCGACTCGCACGAAAACTCTTGACACTTCCGCAAAATGAGAGTATCTTCGTGATGCTGGTAATCTATAAAAAGCGCACCGTGATCCGCCTCCCATAAATCCCTCTCTCTCTTCTCTCTCTCTCTCTGCATATTATAATTTTTATCCTTGATTCTTCAAAGCGCGATCTTGCATCGCGTTGTGAGTCGCACGCGACTCGTTTGCAACGCATCTTGAAGTCGCGTTTCCTCTCCTCTCTGTTATCACAGTATTCTCTCATCACATCTCTATCGTTGTTGTTTTCCGCGCGACACGTCGCGCCAACTACGAATCTTTGGAACGCGCGCGCGTTTGCCGCTCGGTCTGTTGTGATTCGTCGCGCGCGATCACGCGCGGCACATTTAAAGCGCCGCGATGATGGACGAGTCCGGAGTCGACATGGGTTTTGACTTGACAGCCGCTCTCGCCGTCGCCGATTCGACCGCCCATCATGCAGGAACCGATTACGACGACGATGACATCGAGCAGGCCCTGTCCTTTCTTTCGACCTCCACTAAGGATTTGATGTATTACGAGCTGAAAAGTCGAGCACCTGACACCGGCAGGTACGTGATCTCAACTTTATATATAACGACGATGTCGTAAAAGTTTTCTTCATTAAACACCGATAATAAACGAGATAATATTAAGCTCCATGCATTCAATTGTCATCGTAACAATGATCTATAGGATAATAATTCGATGACTAAACTAACACTGTGCCAGTATGTTCATTAATATTATGATTAAATAATTAATATCAAAGCAACACGTTGCATGTGTTTAATCAGAAACGAATTAACGAACTTCTATTACATAATTATCGAACATGAAGTTTATTTACAATGATTATGCGAGAGATGGTGTCATACGTGTTACAATATATACACAAATAAAAGGCGGCAAATAATGGTGGGACCTTGTTCAAACGCTCTTATTTGTAATACGATATCCGAGGCTGCAATGTACAAGCGATTACATAGATAAAATAGATCCGTTGACACAAGTAATTGTAAGCACAGTTGAAGTTTAACCTTTTAATTGCGATTTAATTTATGATTGTGCACATAATTTCTCAACACAACATGTGTATATTTGTTGAAAAAGAATATATAAAATCGCATTATATAACTGTAACAAATATATAGAATACACATTTACGAGTATAAAATCGTTATCTCCAATATATGGGACGCAATAAACACAACGTGCTATACGATATATTTAGGTCGATAATTATCGTTAATAGTGTTATCTGACTTGCACAAGTTTTGATTGTTTTAATATTGAGTGGCAATGAAATATAGAGAGACTAGTTTTAAAATTCATGTGTAATCTCACATGACTTCTGTAATTAGAGGATTAAGTCATCACAAGTGACGATTAATCACATGTGCGCGACTTTATGTATTACATGAAAAATATTCTAAATAAAAGAAATTTTATGAAATTTGTTTGACGAGAATAAATGGTATCACACAAAAAAATAAAGAAAAGACAGGAATATAAAAGAAAAATAATTATTTTATTTATTTATTTTAAATAATTATTTTAATAATTATTTTGTTTTATTTATAAGAAAAATAATTATTTTATTTATTTATTTTAAATAATTATTTTAATAATTATTTTGTTTTATTTATAAGAAAAATAATTATTTTATTTTATTTAGTGAGAAAAAAAATTTTGTTACATAAAAAAGATGTATCTTTTAATACTATTATATATACAAGTTTTAAATACAATTACATAAAACCTAACACTTAATACATAACATATATTTTTCTTTTACTAAATCATCATTTGTGTTTATCTTTGAATGTAAACATCTTAATACACATGCGTGATATCTATCTGCGTCATCGATACGATAATTCAGGGAGGCTGGAAGTATATCAGGCAAACATGATATAAAAAAACGACATGTGCAAGGTGCATGTATGTATGATATGCGCTGTTAAATTTGTGCATTTATCAGTGGTTTTCAAGATTAATTTTACAGATTATTTCTAGTTTTCAAAAATGTATTCCAACGCAAAAAAGTCGATATCACTATAATCATGATTTTTACAATTATACGTGTTTGTTACATATTTTTTTGTATAAGAAAAATGTTGTTAATTAGTAATTATAATTAACACGTGCAATATGAAACAAAAGTGCAATGTTTTCGTGCGTATCTTCAGTGAAGTAAATAAACCTACTTGATAAAAACAACACACACACACACACACAATCGGGTCGGAACATGTAGCGAATAACGTTCTTTCTATGGTTTTGTTGTTACAATCTAAATAAAATGGACTCTGCAACTTAACGGTCAAACTTGTAAATGGAATATGAAAGGCTATAGGAACGAACAGGTCGTTACTTATGAATCTATTAAGAGATGAGATACATATGTATAAAAGACTTGCTCTCATTCGTTCAAGAGCACTAAATTTTTATATAGGTTTTATTCGATTGTGCTAAAGTGGCTGTGTCAGCTTTATAAACGTCAAAGTAAATCGTGAGCAATAACAGCGCCAAGAGCGATTGTGATTGATAATAGCGATTATACAGAAGACGAACACGCTCATCTTTTCGCTTTGATTAACAATTCAATTCTGCATCTTGAACATATATATATTAGATATTAGATTATTCTCTCGGATACTAATAATTCGCGAGTATTAAGAGATTTACGACAAAGCTACGACGAATATATCATCTTTCGCGAAAGTCTATCGAATACGCGTCGGAAAGTTTTCGCACTTGATCCAATTTAATGACACGTAGCTTACATTATTGACAATATTGCTTGATTTGACTGTGTTGTTTACACTCGCGAATCATCTTCGCATGTCACAAACAACAATTGGATGCGATAAGTATTATTCTTGCAAATTTCACGCGTCATCAACAAGTGCGATAACAATTTTTCAGTACAGGAATGTAATAACTCATGTAATAACTCATGAAAAAATTACGGTTTTTTTTATTGTATAAAACCGTTGAAAATAAACTTTCTTCTCGTTACGAACGCTTATCATTTCGCCAGAACACACGCAGTGTCTTGCTTGACTCCATTTAAACTGCAATGATAATTGTTATACAACGATCTGTTATGTAAACATATAAAACAATACGGTAATATACTACTTAAGAATAACAACAAATACAACAACTGATTATTTATAATAAGCGATTTTAATATTCGACTTTTTCATTGAAAATTATTTTCAATAATCAATTCTGATGATGTTATTAAATTGGAATGTTCACGGAGGAAAAAGAAAAGAGAATTTAATAAAAGATTAATTAAATCACCGTACACGGTGCAAATTCTTGATTTTTATTCGTATTTTCAATACTCGATACGAAATGTGTACCTAATATACCCAGTGGACAATCAAGCGTCTCTTTCTGTGCGAGGTATGACTGTGTCGAACTCAACAAAAGCCAGCATGCTTCACGAGAGACAATGTTGAAGATGCTCCTCGCTAACTCTTTCTCTGTCTCTCTCTCTCTCTCTTTTTCTCTCCTTCTCTCTGTCTCTCTCTTTCTCTCTTTCACACACGCACATCTCTTTTGCTCTCAGGCAGTTAGAGAACAGCGACTGCTACGAATCCGGCGCAAACCGGCTCAATACTCGCATTAGCTGGTGCAATGACTGGAAATTCTGATAAGCGTGCTTGTGTCGCGGCCGTGGCGTTCACGATACCTCGGATTCCTCGGTTACAACGACGACAAATCGCGCTATTTTCACGCCGGTGACGGTGACTCTTTTTTTATTTTTCAAACTGTTTACTTTGTAAGCGACCATACGCTTCGGTTTTCTGTATCTTTATACTTTATATATTATATAACGCGACGTACCGTATCTTCAAAACTTACAAGCTATGCCAATGATGCAAGACCTATCGCGCGTTTACGATGGAATAAACTGCGTTCTCTCGCGTAATCGAGAGTTTGAAGAAATATTTATCACGTAAATAATAAAACGTATGGATTATAATATTGCGTGTGATGTGTCGAGAAGAGAGAAATAACATTTACGACAAAATAACGGTCAAAGTACTGAGTGCGAAATGTTTAAAGCGTAAACACTTCGAGTCAAATTGTATACGAAAACCAATAAGGGAAACCGGTGCTAAAAGTCATACGGATCAGTTGTTTCTAAATGGTATCTCGCTTAATTTGTAGAAGATAATATTCTTCCACAGATGCTCTATTCTCTATAGTATAGTTGCCATTGTCATGTTAGTCGCGCGTACGAAATGGCGTTTGAGGAAAGCGACGAGTAATTCGAATTATATAATTTCCTCAATTTACATTTTTCAAATATTTTCCACGTACATCCAACGCTTGTGATTCTCTTGTTAATAGTTTAAGAGAACTCACATGATTATAGTATACGCCGAATTTATATATACGCGACTTTGCTATTGACTGGAAGTGAAAATAAATAATATAAGAACGAAAAGGAGAGTGAGAGAGAGAGAGGAAGAGAGAAAGAAAGAGAAACAGGCAACTGTCCATCTCTTGCGGAGGAGGAGAGCGAGAAGGTAGAATCCGTGTTTAGAGCATCTATCGGGATACCTGACGCTTCGTCGTTGCCGGCGACGCTGTTCCGGTTTTAGTAGCGCCGCGACGCCCCAAGCCAGCTGTGATCGCGCTGTGAGGAACGCGATGCAAGGCGGTGGCGCGTTCGAAACCGCGCGACAGATTGTTGAATTCGAGGAGCTGGTGTCACGATTGGATCGCATAAACGACGTGGTAATCCGACGGTCATCGACGACGTTGGCGACGACAACGTCGACGTCGATGCCGTCGCCGTCGCCGCCGGCGTCTTCTCCGCATTTTGCCGGCACGTCGTCTCTGCCATACGATTGTCCCATTCCGAATGCGACATGTTCGCCCGTTGACAGTGAGCAGCAACGAGTACGCGTGCACATCGGTATCGACGAGGATCTGCGAATGATTCTCGAAATGGATCCGTCGATCGTCGACGGGACTCTCACTCCTGTCGTTCTGCCCGACAATCATCCCACAACAGCGCATACGTTGCGCGTAACACGACCGCAAGGCTGGTACTGCACCGATAGAGACTAACACCTTTAATATCTGATGTTCGTGCGCGCATTGTTTGATATTATTATAAATATTTTCTGAAAGGGAGAAAGAGAGAGAGAGAGAGAAAGAGATAGAGGAACTCACACGCTGCGCAAGATTAATATACGTATTGCTTTAATTGTAAATTAAAAATTTAGAGAACTAGAAAAAAAGAAGACATCTATATTTTCGTATCAATGTCTGTGAGAATATATGTACATATGTTACAATATATATAATGGTTATACGATACCTATAATCACTGTTTGTATATTATTTTAAATGACGCAATTTTAGATGTCGATTGCAAATTTTGTACATATCGGTAAACTTGTTAAAAAAAAAAAAAAAATACGCCTATGTAGTGACTACCATTCTGTGAATTGCATGCGTATGTGAATAAAATACTTATCTCTATAAATATCGACACATGGTCGAAAATGTGACATTCTATAATTTCTCATGTCTATATCGTCATTTTTTTCTCTTCTTCGTAATTTAAATAAATTCTTTATTACAAATACACACGAGATTTTTCATTTTTATATAAATTTCAGTTTACGTATCTTGTTTTTGTAATTTTATAAAAACCATACACGAGAAAATATTAATACCGGGAGAGTTTACATTGTAAACAAACGTCTCTTTTGTTTTATCGGTTTCGCTAAATTTTTGTTTTATCTTCCGTTTTATTCTTCCGTTGTTTCACAATCTATCGAAACGTTAAACATTGTCGCGTGTTGACTTCCAACCGTCTCGAGACGCGAGTTTTTCTGCTACGAGCGTACTGTGCACTTGATCGTCGTCTACGTCGCTCGTAAACACTATGTCCAAATTTAAATGTCCTTGTTCCTCACTGAACGCGAATCACTCGTCTGTCCGACCCGACCCGACGATTTTGTCGCAAACTGCGTGCGTGGAAGTAGCCACGACGCTGCCGCATCTGTCCACGTTTTTTACGAGCGTGCATCAACGCTCGCATCACGCAAGACGAACTGATTACAAGCAGACGCGAATATGTTGCATAACCTTATCAACGTTGACATCTGCTGAAAGCTTTCAGGATTATAGTACACTATTTGTAAAAAAACAAAAACAATACAAGCTTGAGCGCCCAGTTCGACCGCCTTCGAACATTAGTGGCGATTGATGTTAGCGATATTTTAACGTTGAACAGTTTTACTGCTTGTTATTGGATTATATCTCGACACTAAAATAGAGTCGCACGTGTTTGCCTTTGATCATTAGAAATATTTAACGATAAATTTGTGTAAATTAAACTAAACGACACATTTTGTTTGTTTGTTTTTTTAAATTGCTGAATACTTCTTGCGATTTTAAAACACGTATAAAAACTATTGGTCGTAAAAATTATTTTTAATTTAATTCGTTCATTATTTTGCTTCTGTGTTAGTAATGTAAAAAATGCGTTTGGTAATAATTTCAAAATAATTAATTATATCTTATTATTATTATTATTATTATATAATATTATTAGACAAGTAACATCGCATTTTATAATTGATCCAAAAATTTTGTCGTGGCGAATAATTCACTGTTAAATTTATAGCACGTTATGTTTAAGCTTGTCATAATTGGTTTGTTCTTTTTCGCTAAATCGGTCACACTAATTCAGAGTTTATCTTTTTTTCCTTCCATTTATAGAATGAAAAAGATAAACTCTGAACTAACGCAACTAGTTTAGTGAAAAAAAGGACAAACCAAATGTATATAACATTGTGTGCTGAAATTATGTGACTTTAATTAGTCTTCTTTTCTATATGCGTTTTGATATAAGCGTTTACACTGTCTCTCCATCAATTATCACTCAAAAACTATGTCACGTAACGTAGTTTCATACAATCGCGAGTACGATCATAAATATTCAAACAATTTCGCGCTACCGGACGACGGAGGAAAAGAGCGTAGAAAGAAAATTGTGAGCGCTCTGATAGAAGTTGAAAATTAATATAGAAATTACGAAACAAGTTCCAATAATAGCCGCGCGTAAAAATTAACCAATATTTTTCTTTTCGTATGAAAACGGAGAAATACCGATTTATCGTCCCGTACACACTTAGCGCGTACAAATTAATAAATATTTTCCGTTTCCGGTGAAATCGAACTAATTCATACATACGCAAACTGTATGTACTCGTTGCAGCTAACGTAAACATCAAGATCCATATTGGTGCGCGTTTGTTTTTTCCATACGCGTGTTTGATATTTGGATCGGATCCAGAATCGTAACGTGCTTCCGACGATTCCGAGACTAACAATAAGTCGCGCTTCTGCTTCAGTCAGAACTCGAGTTTTTAAGCAGACTATATATAGAGATGTAACAGTTTATATATAACCAGTGACTGACAATCGTAGCCAGTAGCCAATGACTTCGCAAATTCCAAGTAGATATAAAATACAGCTTTAACAAAAAAATTCAGAATTATTTTCAATAAATAAAATATAGATTTTATTACATATATATATCAGTTCTTTTTCTCTTATTTAACTACAGAGAAAGAAACGATAGTAAAAATATGTAGAAAAAAGAACGCAGAAAGACTTTTTGTTTACATATATAATATTAAATATAAAAATAATAGCACTTTAATTTCTAAAAATAATTCAATGCTATTATTTTATATAGAACGTGTGATTTTAACTTTGACACAGTTATTATTAGCAGTATATATATAAATAGTTTCTAAATTTTTTTTAATAGTTTATAAAATTACTGCTATAATTAATGTCATAATGGTATACCATATCACACATTTAGTTTTGTACTATTATAATAGCGGGATCAGATAATAAGTTTGAAATAAGTTTGAAAGAGAAAACCGTTAGATGGTGATTATTTGTGATAAAGAATGTTTTGCAAAAAAAAAAATTAATTGCGATCTTTGCTTTTAAATTGCATAATTCATATGATTAAATTACACGAGACGTGCCCTGCGGCTATCTTTGAACTGTAAATGTTGCTCAGGCAGTATCACGGATAATTTCTCGCCAAATCGCTTTGTCGCATGAGATAATTATGTCGCGCGTGCCGGTCGCTGTTCACACGACCTTGTTCCTGATTTTCGTCTAGGGGCTTTCGATTACCTTCCACCGATTCCGCGTTAAAGCAAGCGAGAATGGTAACGTCTCGCCTCCGCGCTCTGTAACATATCGGCTGAGCTCTCTCTCTCTCTCTCTCTCTCTCTCGCTCTCTTACTCGCTTACCAATTCCTGCATTTGCATAACCCGAATCCGTATCGTTCGATCGTTCGACACAATTCACAGCCGTCGTATATGTATGCACGTACGCGCCGAAGATTACAGTTGAGATTCTGTACGGTCAACTTGCGTAATTTTCCGACCACCAAACTCCCTCCTCCGCATTTACTCTTCGTACCGAGGAGCTTGCGGAAGCGCAATCTCGAACGAAAATTCAGAACTTACAGACCGAATCTTTGTTAACAACAAACAATCGATTTCAATCGCTTTGATTTTCTCTGCAACGTTTTTTTTGTAAAATAATATAATAAAACATAGGTATATTATTTATTTATATTTTATCTGTTTATTGATAATCTTAAAATATTTTCATTTCTTCTTTCTTTTGCTACAATGAAGAAAATATTTTGATAATTTCTGTCTCTTTGTTTGATTTAATTAAAATTCTGAAAAATTAACACGATACAGTGTTCCACCTGATCGCGTTTCACCTAGTTGGATTGTGAGATTAACGATGGAAATTTGTAGTATACTCTCTATAACTAATGTAACAGGGTAGTGGTCATTTAGCAGGGCACAACGACCTAAGTGCACTTTGTTCGAAAGCTTCGTTACCGTGGATTAATCGACTGCATTGTACAATATAATTCCGGTCGGCACGAAAGTTTCCTTCACTTTTCAACGTTGTTCATTGCACGTTGTGGTTTTGTACTTTTAACTTTCATCTTCAGCTTGTAATAGTTTTTCACGTTTTTCTCTGCAATTTTTTATTTTATATATCTACAAACAACAAGATGTTTGTAGATACATGTTTTTTTTTCATCGTGTCTAAAGACATTTGCGATGAAAACGAAAAATTTTTAACATAAAATTCTATATTATTTTTTTTTATTTCAGAAACGTCAAAGATTCGTTTGCAAAATTGTTTTGATAAAACTGGAACGCGTTATATATTTTGCCGCCGAGGGTGGATTGTTTTTCATGTCGCTTGACGTTGTTCTTTCCCTATTTTTGTATTGTGTCCTCCGATATTGTTTGAAGCACAAATAATATAATGGTTTACATTTTACAATATTCGTCGAAAAAAGCGAGAGCCTAAAATAAGAGACAAGATTGCGAGAAAAGATGGTCTAACTATAAAATGTTATATCGAAACAGGTTACAAATTAGGATTTTGATTGTCGACGGAAAATTGGTTTTTTATAATATTTCAAAGAGCTACCGCTCATGTATTTTTTTTTTTTTTTTTTATCATTATTTTCCCGTGTCGTCGTTGTTTTTTTCTTTTTTCTACTTTTTCTCTTTTTCTATTTTTTTTTTACGTTTCCTCTTTCTTTGTCTCTCATTCTCTTCTTTTACATCGGTTTTTCCGTGGACTAGATAAAAGTTTCTCCCTGATAAGTTTCTATCATTTTTCCGCCTAGGGTAAATCATTTTTCGCTGCTTATTACGTTTATTATTATCAGTCGACAGTTGAGCTCTTATAAACTCCACAAACTTTCACAGCGGGAATTAGCGACTTAAAGAACGTGGAGGAACAAAGGAGGAATTTATTTCTTAGCCGGTTTATTTTACAGACAATTGTTCGTGGAGAAATCTGTTATTAAATTTTACACCAACTTGATGAACAGTAAATATGAAGATGAAATGGTGTTAAGTATTGAGAAATTGATATATCCATAAAACACACACATGTCATTAACTGATTTATTTTTGCTTGTTTTTTTTCTAATAATAAGTTCACTTGTTACTCCTTAGAGTCAATTTTCTCATGCTCGAATATCGTAGAGTAAGTGGCAATTTGAATAATCACAATCGAGAGTCCACTTCGCGATGATAATCTTTGCTTTGACGATGAAATTCCGTATATATATGTATATACGGCCCTGTTCGCAACCGAAGTCGACATCTTATAATTAGTCAAGAATATACATTAATCCGACAAAGAAGCCGCTTTCCACATTATCGCGATTTATATCGTCTGACAGAAGTGTGCGCGGCTATATTTTCTCACTTAATTTATTCCACGGGAATGAAGATAAAACTTTGGCGGCAGCGAGCCACCGATTTTCTTCGAGACTAATGACATTAATACCGCCGCCAGTTCTCTGCTTTATACGTTCTGTAATATCCGCTCGGCGATCTTTTACTCGGGAGATTCTCAGTGCCGGATTTTTCAAATTGTGTAGAAAATCGTGAACTTTTAGTATTTTAAACTTAAATTATGAGAATGTACATTGTAAAGTCACTAGTCCTCTGGATCAGTTTAAGGATAAAATCTCATATTTTTGTCTCAAATAATGGAAAATGTAACAACCAAATTTTTAATAGATACGTTTAATAGATATATTTAATCGTATAGAAAATATTTTTAATAATTCTAAGTAAATAGTTATAGTTTCAATATTTTTTAATTTTTAATTAAATAAAATGTTGCATTTGATCCACAATTAGATTCTTATATTAATTACAGATAGTAAAAGTACTTTAAGCTTATTGTATATCATATTGTAAATAAAAAATAATTATATTTAGTGTCGATAAACTAATTGTGGATCAAACTAAATTCTCAGTCCTGTGTGACAATATATTTGTTTATTTATTACGTATATGCGCGCGCGTAATTTGTTATTATCAATTATTTTACTTTAACAAAATCTTTCAATTAATGATATATCTTGAAATAATCTTCTTGACGTACGTATACACTTTATGTGCATCAAGCAACACGTTTGCTAAATTCATGGGCGAGGATCCTCCTTTCTCAGGGATCCTCTTGCGGCAATCCCTTCTTGCACACCGCATATAGAGAGACAGTGAGTAAGAAGGAGGACCGGAGAGAGGGCTCGCGTGCATTTGCATGAAGCTGCCATAAGCGATCCTCCGTCGCTCTTTATATAAGCACTAAATTCGGTATTACGGTCGCTTACGCTCCTAAGGATGGGACATGTATAAAAGCTTTCGTTCCGGCAAAAAAGCACGATACGAGAGGAGAAACTCGCGTAGATGTTGCAAAGTCGTACGTGACCTTGGAGAATTAATGGCATAGCGTATCGTCGAGAATTATTTTCGGCCGTTCAATATCCAATATCGCGAGAGAAGAAATATACGAATGCACTGTAGTTACCTTCGATCTATCGACTGTTTATAAAAAGTCAAGTTTGCCGTTGCAATTTCTCGCGAACGCAGTTAGAATCTACGGTTGTGCTACTTCGTGTAATATTACGAGAATTTTTACAACAAACGAAAAAAAAGAGATGACAAAATTTACTTAAAACTTCAAAATTTATGAAAATTCATTCGTATTGCCATTATCACATTTGTACAATTTTAATTGATCAGGTGGTAATTAAGTAAGATATAATAAAGATACAATAAGGATCTTCTCATTAGCGTATAATATTAATTAGCTATAGGTATATAACGAGAAGTAATTTGATCATCGAAACAAAAATGTCGAAGAAATGAGTGGAAAATTATTATTGAACTTCGACGATAATAATAATAAAATTTTAACGAACAAATTAGAATCGATCTCTGCGAAAGTTTCTTTTTCTCTCTCTTTCTTAAGATATTTTAAGATAATTAAATTTCTGCTATATAGAAGTGGATGCTCTTTAATTGAGTCTTAACAAGAGAGCAATTTAACTATATTGATTTTCAATGGCAAGTTTTGTCTAAGAGTTATATTACATTTTCTAATTAATGGTGTAACGAGCAAATAAACTTCGATGTAGCAACAAACAATACAAACGTGCGGAATCAATAAGTGTAGAACGTTCTTTTTGGATACTCGTTTTTTTCCACTAAATATCGATCGAATGAGAAATTCGAAAGAGAAATGGAAATATCCAATTCAACTTTGACCTTATCTAGCAGAAAATTTTTCATCAGCAACTTTTCCAATCTTCCATCAGTATTTCTGTTCTTTAATTGGTCGCGAGGTTTTTTGACGAACTCAGCTAACGTTGAAGTGCCACTTTTCTAGCAATTGTTTCTTCAAATTTATTAACACTTAACTTTTATATATCTAATGATGATTAAGAAAAACCAGTGCTGAATAAATTTAAAAGCAAAAATTAAATTCATAAAGAATAAAAACAAACTGCGTACCTATTTTTGTGTAACATTATGCCAGATATAATATCTTACTTCAGTATTGCGTAAAAAAAATCTTATCTAGATAGGAAGTTTATAATTACTTCCAAAGCAAAGTTACATAAACAAACTGATGAAAAGGTCAAAGCTTTTAAAAACAAAAGTGTTAAAAGGAAAAACTAAGTTTGTCTCTTTCTCTCTCTCTCTCTCTCTCTCTGTTTCTTAAACGACAGAAAAAATTTGTAAGACGTTTTAATGGTATTCTTGAAAAGCCTGTGTTCTGATTAAATCGTCTTTCACAAACCAGCCAGGTATTATTATAAAAGTTGTAACAACTTTATTACGCGACAGTCCGTGGCAGCGCAGGGAATTGGGAAGAAAGAATTTTTAATTTTGTAATCGCACAAAAACACGACGACTTTTGAATTCAATAATTGAACAAATATTCAGTAGTTTTCTTTTGTAGATGCACATTGCTTTCTCTCTATTTCTATAAAATCGAGTTTAAACTTTGGTCATTTAGGGGGCTTCTCACATTAGTCATCTTCAAGATAAGATTTCACATTTTTTGTTTGTATTTTAATAGTTTTGCGTCTTCGAGAAATATGAAGTGGTGATCAAGAAGAGAGGTTTAATTTCGAAATTTCTCGAGCTGAAAAAAATTTTGAATAGAATAAATTTATATCTCAGATGAAGTAATTTAGTTGATTTGCTTGCAAACAAGAATATGATGTGTGATAAGCGCCATATAGCGAGAGAGGGAAAAGAAAGGTCGTCTCGAGCGACGAAAACTAACGCTCGATCCAAATTGCACAATCCCTCTATTTTGGTTTTCTTATAGCCAGATCTTGGCTTTGTTCCCGTATCGGGAATGTTATTTAATCGGCGGCGAAACGGATGCCTCGTGTGCCTCTCTGCAACATATTTGTTCTTAATAATAACATTATTATACCTCAATATTAATAGCATAAGAGCGAAAACTATATTTACTAAACGAAAACTCAATTGCGAAAATTTGAATACAAGCGACGACCGTGTCCACCAATGTCTATATACGCGCGAAATTTTATTCGTGTGACGTCAGAGATCAAAAACATTTCTATTTATTTTATTGGCATCTAATTCGCGATAAATTGTAAATTATAATCGCCATTTCGTTATCCGCGAATTTGGAAACATTCGGATCGTTTTTGTGCGACTATCGCGACAACGATGCCAAGAGACTCGATATAATACCATCTCACTCGACTTTACATATTCGAATCATGATATTAATTTTCTACACTAGACACTATTTGCTCAAGTAAAATCCGGACATTAATAAAGATAGTTCCTGTAGTAGTTGTTCAAGTGAATTAACGCCACTTCAAGAAGTGACGTTATTTTGCGCGACGGTGTTTATGTCAGATTTGGTAGTTTTTCTAAAACTTTTTTATTTACATAATTTAATGGTTTAATTGTTAATATTGGCGTTTTATTTACTTGCAAATCACGCGTTCGATTGACTTTACGGGGTTTCTTCTTCTGTTGTCGTGGAGATATAGTACAATTTAATGTGTTTGTACTATACAAGATTAATTGGCTTCGCCTCGGACTTGGGACTTGATGCACTCGTTCAACTGACAATGCCTGAATGTTCTCGCGTTTATCGACATAATCGCGCGGCATTGTAATTGATAGAACTTCAGTCCGAATGGCTTGATGCAACACTCGCATCGTTTGCTTCGAGTTATAACGATCACGGCAATGAGAGATTGCTCTTTCTATTTAAAAGTTTATTTGCATAGTAGTAGAATTATATGTATATAGACAATATAAACTCATTGTGTATAAAAAAATACAATATTGGTACAAAAATGACACTAACGCGGTTCAAACCTGAAAAATCATCTTCGAGTGTTAAAAAATACAACAATTTGTTGTTTTTTAAATAATTTACACAAAGCTCAATGATCATTAACATTTAGTTCTTTCACCATATATAATCATTAAACTGTAACTTTCTTAAATTTTTAACCAAATTTGTACGAAATGTTTAACCGAATTTTTAACCGAATTTGCCGAAGAAAAATGATGTTTCAGAAATACGAGTGTTTTCAGGGAACACGTTTTGTTCCATACTTAGTATGAAAGTCTGCACTCATGATTAATAGCACACAGCAGTTTTAGCAACTTAGAATAAAACTGATACGTTTCTAGATCATGAACTGATATGTACAAGTACGTTTGAAATAATTGATAAGCAATAACATAGTTTAATTTCAACGACTTTCAAATTGTTACCCTGTACACACACACACATACACTTCTCTCTTTTTTTCTCTTCTCTACACTTGTACAATATTTACAGCAATAATTAATAATAGTTTAGGTGTTTACACATTGAAGAAGAAATATATTATGTACTTACTCTTATGGATCATTAATTCTTAGAAGACGCGGACGTAACTGAGCTTGTGCACGAGCGCGGATATAAATGGTAAAAATACGCCAACGAGAAGTGTCTTGGCGGGATATAGTCTTACGTGAACGAAATATCGATTCTTTTTCAGTCCGCCGACGTTCAAAACAGCGACGCCGACATCGCGCACGCAATTGAAGCTGCAGTTGATGCGAGAGCAGCTGCAGGAGCAAGAAAGGCGACAGGCGGAATTCCGGCAGAGCTTGCAGCAGCAGAGACCAGCTGCCGCATCACCCAAACCAGTGCCTCCTACGCCGCTGCCCACCATTGGCGTAGATGTTCCACCACAAGTATTGCAAGTATGTGCTACCACTGTACATCGCTCGATCTGTGTGATCGACGCTAAATTGCCAAAATCAAATCACACAATGCAATGAAATCACTTATATAACGCAATATATGTATAATATCGTTTGTAGTTAACAGAGCATTTATTTGCTTCTTTTTTTTGCAATTATAATATAACATAATATAATTTCATAGTTGTATAAATTTTTTATATTTCGGAGATGGTATTTATATACAATATTTTTTAAACTCAAGCTTATTTCGGTAGTTGTCATTTCGCGTTTTCTTTTCTATAATTTATATCCAATTCGTGTAGAAAAAAAAAAGTTTTGTATCAAAACTAGAACGCGTTGAAGTTGGAGTAGATATCGAAGTGTCAAAGTACCACTACTAGTCTAACGCAACAGTTTCCTCAGATAGAACCGTACTTTCGAAATAGCGGAGGGTCAAGCAATCTGGTTACTATCGTTTGCGTTTCCATTGTTTAAAGCTCCGTCTATATAGATATACATACATATCGCGCGGGTACAGTTAAGATAACGATACTTTATAGCACCCGGCAGTTTGCCGTATTGCGGTAAGGCGAGTCGAATACTGTAACGTCGTTATTAGGTCTATTCGGTTTGCCGTGTCTACACGTTAAAGCTTGTAGAATGATGTTAAGTCACGAAACATCAAATAAGAAGCGAGAACTGTTCACTTTAACGTAACTGTTGCAAAAGAACTGCGAGTAAGAAACTAATAAAGAAAATTGATAAAAAAAAAAAAAACGTATACGTCGCTGTTTTAGGTACGCACTCTTTTGGAAAATCCTACACGTTACCATGTGGTGCAGAAGCAGAAAAACCAAGTGCGTCAGTACCTGCACGAGTCGTTTCGCGGAGGCGAGGGCGGCGCCGGCAATGCGGTTGTCGGCGGTAGCACCAGCAGCGAGGGTGGCAGCAGGACGCCGGTCGACGCCGGGCCACCGCCCGTTCCGATGGTGGTGCAAAGTGCACCACCCGGCCCACAGCTGCATCACACCAAGTCGCAGCATCCTCATCTTGCTTCGTACCCACATGGCCCCGCGCTGCTGCCGCACCATCCCGGTAATCCCACGGCGCTCTCGGCGAGTCCGGATCCCGCCACCACTGGCACCATGTCTCCGGGTTTGTCCAGTGTCGCCACTAGCAACTCCGAGGTAAGTGTGTACAATGAACATGGACAATGTGACACAGTGTTTCTCAATTCGTTGTCGCATATTTTGTTATGCGACAAAATATGCGACATATGAACAACAATATTATTCACATCTGTGTTTCAAGTTACAAAGTTTAATATATATAATATAATGAGATTTAGTAAAAACAGTTCTTAACATAAATTTTAAATATTGAAATTCTAGAAATAACGATAAGGAGTAACGTTTTTATCTTACGTTAATTTAAATACACAAGCGGTGGGTTTTACGCAAATTCGCGAATTTAAAACGAGAAAATTAGTTTTCCGAATCGTTTTTATTTATTTTCTAATTTTTTATTTCGCTCGTTCAATTCAATCTAAATAAACACGACGTTTTTGATCAACGCTAACTAATCTTATGTAATCTACTGAGAGAAAGGGGGGTTATACCATAACGCAGTTTTGCTCTCTCTCTCTCTCTCTTTTTCGTTTAATAATTAATCATTCTCCACCTTCATCGATTTTTCTTGCGTATCTCGTGAAATGTACGCGATTCAAATAATTTCTCGCGGCGAGGTTTTAACGTATTTGCGACAGTCTCAACAGATTTAATACGTGATGATTTTGTCTCGTTACTTGTGCGAGGCACATATTCTTTTATTTTCTTAGCAGTCGTCTTAAAAGAATTCACAAACGCGAAAGATCGCACGTGCATTTAGCACGACAGCAGGAGCACGTTTCATGACGCTGTAACGTTAAAGTAGAATTCGCGGCACGCACCCAGTGCTAATTGTCACCTAGGTCTGCAAATCGATCTGATTTGCGTCGCAAAGCAGATCCGCAAACGACCAAAAGGTGGAAACTTGAGAAGTAGGTCTCCGCAACGTATATTTTTGTAACACATTTTTAACACTTCGATTAGGAACTTACGGAGACATTATGGTGCGTACAACGTATTATTTTTATATGAAATTGAAAAAAAAAAGAAAACGTCTGAAACATTGAAAGCATCAACGTTTATGATACAATAAAAACGAGAATGTTTGTGAAATTCTTATAAGCACATTTAAACAGAAAATTCTATTTAAGTTCTATTTAAAAAAATATCTATATTTTTAATACACATTTTTAAGTTTTTTGTTTATGCTGACTCGCATCATAACGCGAAAAAAATGTATATTATCGCATTCTTTTTTCAAACTTGTTGTACGTTGTAAACTAAAAGCAATAGACACGCACGAGCTGTCGTTGCACGCGTAATACTCGGTATACATATCGCATACGAGAAGCGAGCTAGTGGCTCGTTAACTCGTCAGCTTTACGATCCTAGAGCTCTTAATAAGGCAAAATTGATTTTGGTGACGATGCATGTACATATACAAACACACACACACACACAAACACACACACACACGCATACACGCGCGCACGCTCGCGCACGAACACACACACACCACACGTGAGCAATATCAAGCAACCGCTTTTAAATTGATTCTTTGATCCGTCATGCCTCGACCGCGGGAAAACTCGCGCGTACCGGATATAAACGTGCAAACGTTTCTCAATTTATTACTTTGAACACGAGCTTGTTTTATTCGCGATTTTTCTCTCGCGTTAATTAAACCGTTTCACGCGGGAACTTCTCAGAAATTAAACGAGTTTAGGCTATTTGTAGAATGCGGAAAAAAAAATTCACTCTTTGATGTACGGACGCGTGAACAAGTTATTTTGGCGTGGATATTTTAGAATTTAAGTAAAAAATATAATTTCTTTTCTTATAAACATAAAGGTGCAAGTTTCTTGCAGCTAATTTTTGCACTTGTTGTTTGAGACCGACGTGTGCTCATCAATCTTATTTTGTTTGAAGTCGTGCGAATTGACTAATTAAAATTCGTGAACTTTATTTTAGTTACATTGAAATAAAAACCTGAATCAGAGATCGAAACGTGTATGTAGCAAATTTTGAATCAAAAATGCATCACGCACATTCTGTGTTTGACTCGTATATTGACTTTTGCTGTGTATACATTATTTGGAATAGTTTTGAAACTATTAATCACTGATATTCTGAAAAAGTTCTATACTTATGAAACCTTTAATAATGAGTTATGTATTATAATAGAGTTAGTAATATCTTGCAAATGTCAGATTGTATTTTAGTTTGATTGATAGTTAGTTTTTATGATTTGATTGATAGTTAGTTTTTATATATACAAGGTGTCTCAGAATTGGTGTAACATCTCTCGTAGACAGGTAGAAGAAGAAAAACTCACAAGTCAGTCAACTCACTTGTCAGTCGATAAGTCCTATACCATTTTGCTGGATTCGCAATAGTTACTGAAATCTTAATTAACAAAGATCCGCGAATAAGCGTGCATCGGGCTGTCTTACGCGCGTAGGACAGCCCGGCGCGCTTCGCACAATTACATTTTAATATGTATATGTTATAGAGTATATGTTGTTGTATTATCTCCTCCCATATGCTACGGGTAACACCGTAAGCACGCGAAACGCACTGGGCTGTCTCAAGCGCGTAAGACAGCTCGATGCATGCTTATTCGCTGATCTTTGTTAATTAAGATCTTAATAATAACTATTGCGGTAATTATTGCGAATCTAGCAAAATGGTATAAAACTTTTTGACTCAGTTTTACTCCTTCTATTTGTTCACGAGAGATGTTACACCAATTCTTAACTCTGTATATATGAAGACCACACAGGAGAAGAACTTGATAAGTCAATTTTTTTCGATTTTCTGTTTTTGATGTTACTTAGTAGTTAAAATGGAGTATTTTAATTATCCCAAAGAGCGAGAAAGGCAAATTCTTGATAGAAATTCCGAAATATATATATATATAAACATTTTTATAAAACATGTAACACAGAAATACACATATACCTTTCGAACTTTAAAATCTCACTCCTCTAAAATTACTGAAATTGTGACTTATCAAGTTTTTTCCCTGTAGTCTTCATATTGAAATCAATCATCTTTTAATTAACAATCAAAGAAAGTACTTGAGAAAAAAATGAATATTGAAAAAGAAATTGACAATCTTTTAAAGTGGCAATTTTGAATGTTTTACCGCGTGTGTAAAGTGTGGTAATTATTGTATATACATAATTACTGGAAATAATATATTATATATAGTTGATGGAATTCCGCGCCTAAGCGTTACATCGTTCAAATAATATATAGATACTTGCTAATTACTAATTAATGTTGTATCTTTTTCTCGGGTTCTTTCACTCTCGAGAGATTTTTTCGTACATACAAACGGTAAACCGTAGAGATGATTTTATTCAGCCGCGAAAGTCTGGAGAAAAATAGCAGCGAGCTAATATTTGAACCTCTCGAAACGGCTGCGATCCCGTTGCCAGCTGGCCCGGCGGCTCTCCATTTTGAATAATGGATCAGACGCGCGTTTCGCGGGACAAAGTAGATATTCGCGGCATTCGCCGACGGGGGACAAAGTGCTTTTAGTCAGATACCCGCCTGTGGCAATTTGCACTATGCATTCGTCGGCGTATATTCCTCGATTATAGATCTTCAGCGCCACCAATACGTACCATATATGAGGTATCCAATACTTCTGGAACTCTCTACAAGATGGGACAAAATATTCAGGACCGGTAAGCGCATTATTATTATTTTCAGGCGCGAAAGAGCCTTCACTTTTTTACGGAACTTGACTGTAAATGTTTTCGACACAAAATCTATTGATCTCCGCACGTGTGTGTTTTTATATCTCAGGTTAAAATTTTCTTTTACTCCATTAGATTCATATTCTTTGTTTTGTTTGTTTATAAAGAAAAAAGAAATATGGGATATTTTACGGTATGACTCACCTAAAGTTCAGGAATGATATTGCACAATGATAGACTATTACATAAGAAACATGTATGTCAAGTTTGGATTGCGGCATATTGAATATACTGGAGATATGAAGAGCGAAATCATGTTTAAAAAAAGAGTTTTTCACGATTATCTCCGAAATTATTCACATTATAGAAAACGTTTTCAAACAAAAAATGTAGGAAATTAAATTTTTCACAAAAAAAGGTTATAATCTTCAATCATATAACTTCAACCGTTTTTATGATAGAACGCTGAGAGCAAATACTAAGAGTTTTTCACGATCATCTCCGCAATTAATCACATTATGAAAAAAGTTTTCAAACAAAAAATATAGGAAATTAAATTTTCTACGAAAAAGGTTATAACCTTCATTCACGTAACTTCAACTGTTTTTATAGTAAAACGCTGAGAACAAAGTAAAGTTATACATTAGCTACTCTGTTTTCTTTGATCTTTGTAGAACTTAGTATTTTTACGCATATAAATGAGCAATTTCGCGAATGGCGTTAGCATCCACAGATGACACTAGTATCCACAGACAGCGCTAATATCTACAGATGGCGCTAGTATCCACAGATGGCGGTAATGTGCACATAAATCCCTAAAAGGGGTTTCGGTGGGTATATCCCGCCAGGGTGAGCTCTGGCCGGAGGAGTCCCACAGTACCCCATCCCACCTCGATGGGGTGGGGTGTGCGTAATGCATTTCCCTTGGGTTAAAAAAAAAAAAAAAGGTTAACACCATGAGGGTTTTAGTGGGTGCAAGTCCCACATACTTTTGACCTTTTTCCAGGAGTCGGGGAATGCGTAGGCATTTCCTCCACGTAAAAAAAAAAAAAAATAGTGTAAAAAAACAAAGTATTTTTATGTTTGTGTTGTAAGTGTGTAGGCAGGGGAAGGCTGCGCCCCCCCCCCACAAGGGGAGGGGCTTCGCCCTTTCCCTTGCGCTCCCCGGATAATCGTGAAAAATACGTAAAGATACGAAGTTCCACAAAAATTAAAGAAGACAGAGTAGCTAATGTGCAACTTTACCTCGTTCTCAGCGTTCTACCATGAAAACGGTTAAAGTTACGTGAATGAAGGTTATAACCTTTTTTGTGGAAAATTTAATTTCCTACATTTTTTGTTTGAAAACGTTTTCTATAATGTAAATACTTTCGGTGATAATCGTAAAAAACTCTTTTTTTAAACATAATTTTGCTCCTCATATCTCCAGTATATTCAATATACCGCAATCCAAACTTGACATACATGTTTCTTATGTAATTCAGGTGGAGTGTCACTCCTGAACTTTGGGTGGGTCATACCGTAATACAGCCGAAATATGCATCGTAAAACACGCTGAGAACTGGATATAATATTTTTTAAGATCAAATGCGGTTGCTTTTACTTTCGAACGATTACGTCACGAAAAACAGATAGCAGCGATTTCATCTGCTTTGATATGCGACTCGCATTTGTGAACATGAAGAAACATTGTGATCTTTCTTGAACAGTCGTAAAACCAACTATAAAAGAGACGACGCATTTAGTATCCCTCGACTCGCGCGTATTTACAATTTTAATGTTTTTTGTTCAAAATTATACTCGCAAACGCGGCCTCTTAATCTTAGTTCGAATTGAATTTCTGTCTTGAGATTTTAACGTGTGAGGAACGACATTTCGATGTTTTCGTTGCCTATTGCTTGTAACTGTTTTAGGTCGAGCGCATGTCGATAACAAGTTGATAACATGTGCTGACAAGAGTGAAACAAAGTGAAATACACAGATAGTATTTCACTTTTTTCGTGACGTGACGACAACGATAGGACTTGTTGCATAATCATTTAAATTCTCTTTTCTTCGTACGGTCGATGTACCAAATGATGATTCTATCATCATCATGACAACTATAAAAATGATGATTCTATCATCATCATGATGATCATCGACCGTACATGATTAATAATTTTGCGAAATAATGTATTAATAATTGATTAAATAATTAACAAATAACAAACAAATAATATTTTACAAATAATCTTTTAAATGCAAATTTTCTGGGATAAGTATTTACGTATTTCTTAATTACATATTTCTTAATTACGTATTTCTTAATTACATACATATTTACGCAAGCATTAGCAGTTTCTTGAAAAAAAAATTTTTTTGTTGATCAAGGTTTTTAATGTTTACACTTATCTCTATGTGTTTTAGAATTACAAAGTTTTGACGGGTGAATACACCCCCTATATCTCGGCATGTGTTAAGTTGGCACCCCAACATTAAATTTTTGTAGTTCTGATTAGAGTCTCGCTTTATTTTGAAGAGATTAAAAAATTCACCCACGGAACTTTGAAAATTTCCTTATATCAGAATTTTTTTTGAAAGTTCCGGATAGTTCTGATTAGCGTTCTGGCTAGTTCTCGACGAGTTCTAACGAAAAGTCTTATGAGTCAAAGCGATCAAATAACTAGATAAAAAGATATGTGTAATAATTGTCTGGTTTGAAAAGATGTTTTAAAGTATGTAACTTGTTTAGTTAGGTATCTAAAATTTTTTTAATCGTCGAGAACTCTTTAAAATATATAAAATTTTAATAAAATTAGCTCAGAATATTATATCTAAAAATTAATTTTTCAAAATTTTTTAAGATTTTTTGGGATAATCAAAAAATTGTTTTATGTATCAAGAACTCTAGATAATCGCAAAACGAAACTATTTAATTGCTCAGAACTATGCCATCACAATTTTCGATTAGAAGTTGGCTCCCCATTTTTTAATTTTAATTTTGAGGCAGTAAATCACCAGAACTCTTTATATAAACTATCGAGAATTCTTAGTCTCTTCAAAATAAAACGGGAACTCTAATCAGAACTACAAAAATTTAATGTTGAGGTGCCAACTTAACACACGCCATATCTCGGCATAATTTTCATTCGGCCTGACATTCGCGATGTATGCAGATTTAAGCTCTTAATACATAGCGGTTTGAATGGATTAGGATCTTAATATGAGTCTGGCATTTGTGTACCTGTTGCAATGCAGAAATTTCATTTCTATGCGCTTGTGCATTTAACAGTTTTGCCTGATATAACAAGATTTATTAATAATATAAAGAAATAGTGATTTTATAAATATAGATAGGCTTATTGTTACATTTTATTTCTTTTTTCTTATTTCTTAAGATTTTATTTCTTTTTTCTTATTTCTTAAGATTTTACTTTTGAGAAGACAAAGATCACACAAGCATTGAACACACATTAGAAAGTAAGAAAGTAATTAATTATAATAATTGAATTGACATAAAGAAATCATCTGTTACCAGAATGTATACGTAATAAAAAATAAAATTTTTTTCAGAATGGAAAAAGCAACGTTTAAATTTTAGATAATAAATCAAGTATTAAGTTTTATAAATGGAGAATGTGGGGGTGCGGCATATGTTCAATAAAACAAAATATATCAAATAATACGGTCGGTTTGTCTGGTCGTCGCGAAACAGCGCAAAGCCATTATCAATTTATAGATAAAATATAAATATACAGTGGCCGGTACGGAATCGATCGATATAAATCTTTCATCGCGATCGAAATACTCCAGTAGCATCGATCGCGCACAGAGCTCACGACAAGAACGCAGTTCCGAGCGAGAGAATCGTAAATTAGCGTCAGCGCGCGGACATTTAGGCTCCTCGTTACGTAATGGATATTCCTTCTCGTCGTTTCTCTCCATTTGACATTCCATCTAAATATTCTTTACGGCCGCGTGCTTGTCTTCCGCAGTATTTCACTTCGTTTCGTTGCTTCGCAGTAGTAGCTTTTTAGTTTAGACGCGAGGTCGATAGATCGCGCTTATTCGAGATATGAGATCTGCTTCTGTAATCAAACCGAGTGTTTCGTATACTCGTATACTCGTAACGAATACGTAATGTCAAGTGAAAAAAAGAATCTGGATTATATACCTGAAGTTTGTGATTTTATCGCAATGATGTCACTGATTTATCGACTTGGTTAATGAAAACTGAAAACCGAAAAGAAAGTGTTTTCTCAATTTAACTTTTTATAAAAAAATTAAGATAAAATAAGCTCCAAGAATTTTCCAAATAAAAGTAAAAAATAAAACACTAGTGTCATTTTAACACACTAACAACTGTTTTTTTTTTGCTCTGTGCATTTTGTTTTACTTTCAACGTAGACAATTTTTCGTTTTGTAAACATATTTTACTCCAGATAAAAATAGAGAAAAAATTACTAGACACAAAAGACTATACGTATGTATGAAATAGTCGGAATATTTGGTACACACAAGTAAAAAATACGTGTGTGCATTCTTCACACATCTATACATTTCTGTTTATATCGTGCTTTATCCGTCTAGTAAAAAAAGCATCGCGATAAAATGTGAGCACGATAAAAACGGTCTCTGCTTTCGAGATCGTATATAAGATCACAGTAGTACAGATAGCTGTCGTCAAACTTCTTTAGACAGAAGTGTCTACACACACGTTACCATACATACGCGCGATATGAGACACGAAGAACGAACGAACAAGTGCTATTTGTCTGTATAATCTTCCTCTTCACACCGATAATCATTATTTGCATTTTGCTACTACTCTTATCAAATGTCGAGTTTCAGAGAGTGTACGGAATGTATATTGTAGAGGTTTTTAAGCCTTTTCTAACTAAATTATCTCCGCTTTATTATCTTCTTAACCCACTTTGTTTTCGCAAATTATTTTGATAACTTATATATGACGTTGTTGTCAACAATAATAACGAACTAAATGAAAATTTTCAAGATGTTTTGTATAATCAACGGAAGAAGATTTAAGTTCAACAAAATGACATTTACACGTTTTATGCGGTAATAATTTTTATTAAAAGTTATTGGCATCAATTTAGACACAGTCGAAAAAGCGAGAAGTGTTAAATTCACATTTTTTGACCTTCGCTTGAAAATTAATGATTTTACGCAGTGTTGCCTTGAATATAAATTGCACAAACGTACACGCGTCGCGTATAATTGTCCGTTATATAAGTACGATCGTAAAAATGTTATCAGTATTTATTAACGTAGCATTATCTTTACACTTTCTTCCAAATTATCGTTAATTCAATTCTTTTGAAAGAAGACAAAGAAATGGGGATATTTATGTTTTTTTATGCTGTAAAACAAACGTGTATGTTAATTTCCGTTACTTACTCAATGATATTGACCTTTCGTCTTGTTTTCAATTTTTTGATTTGAAAAGAATCATATTCCAAACGTTTTAATAGAAAAAAGAAATAATGAAAATATATTTATAAGCATTAACGTTACAATTACTAAATAATAAAATTATTAAAATGTATATTTTTTATACTGTACCAGACATGTAAGAAACGTTTAAAACCTCTTCAAAAAATTGTTATTTTCTTGAAACCACAACATTCAATAATTAATTCAAATTTCTACAAGCATTTTCTGTCACTACCGCTGTTATTAAAAATCGTTTTTTTCAAACTATGTATAAATGTCTATCAATATGAAACAAAGTAATTAGCGACAACAACATGGAATATACATTTGAATCGCGCGCGTTAGATTTTGAATATAATGTTTTTTTGTTGCTCGTCGAAACGAACAATTGGGATTGAAAGAAGACTGACAGCAACCTGTTGCAAAGACTGTTGATAGTGAAGTGAGCGGTTTAGCGCATCGCGCGCGGACCGAGCGCTGCCGAGCGGTGACGAGCGCGACCGAGCGGATTTGACACGAGCGCGAACAGAGCATGCTGGCAGGCGGACGCGCTCTTTCAGAATACGAGTTCGTCGCCGCGTCGCGAGGTGTGTTGTTTGTTGCTCCTGGCGGGCGTGCAATCGTGGCAGCGGGCCTATTGTCCCCGAGGTGTGCTTTCGCGCGATTGTTGACCAGTCGACCATTTAACTCGGTCTGCGATTGTCGTGACTCACGAGCGGCCTTCGAACGCGCTCTCGCGAGCGCGCTCTTTCCTCATATTTTGCGCGCTGCCAGCGCGCGGGGAGGCCCCGCGTTATCGATCGATCGATAGTAGCTCCTACAAGGCGCGCGTTACTTCGCGCAGCTCGTACTCGCCGGCAAATATTTTGCGCAAAGCATTTTGGAACTCAATCACGGTGTGAGCATTTATTCGAAGTGTCGCCGGTCTCAAGTGTTATCTTGTGTGATCTTTTGTTTTTGAAGAATTTTATTCGATCCTCAGACCGTTTCTTTCTCGTGTGAGAAGCGCGCGCTTTTCGAAACGCAAACACGATTACGAGGTATATGTACGACGTGAATGCCATAAAATCGAGTCAAGGACGTCCCCGTTTGTCGTTTCGGACTTTTACGATTTTGCGCGGAAACGACGGACGACGACGAGGTAGTAAACTGCCGATCTTTCAGTGTGAATTTAATCAATGGGACACTAATAAAAGGCTGAGGTAAAATCGTGATTGTGAAGGAGGAATTAAATTGATCATCAAAAGAAACTCGGTAAATTTTTGTTACCTTGAAATTTGTGGTGCCACTTAAAAATTGCAAGTGAAAAATCTTGAAGTGAAAGCATACGAGAGCCGTTGCCACGCCTCTTCAAAAAGAAAAACAAACAATTTCCCAGTGAATTTTATCCGAATGAGATCGGAATTGCACGCACGACAATAGAAACTCATTGAAGTATAAACGCCGAGTTTGCGACAACCTTGGCAACGTTGAACAATTGCACGAATAGATTCAGACAGTAGACGCTTGTCATTTCCTAGAACGTAAGGATTTCTTCGAGACTTTTCCTCGCTTAGCCTCGCACCTTGTCCTTCCATAATCATCGGAGTATAACCGGCGCCAATTACTTCCAAGCGTATTTACGCGTGTTGTAACAAAGTGTTGTTGAAATATGTTCCTTGAAGTGACTAAAGTTTTTTTTATTAGCACTAAAATAAACATTTCTCAAAATAATACTCAGTGATACCAAAATTAGTAGAAAACTCGTTTCCAAGTTTGTTTAAGATATAAAATCATACATTTTAAGAAATTTAATTTCTTCTACACACATACACACACAAATCCAATTGTTTTTTTGCTCCAACATATATCTCTAAGAGGTAAAACCATTATATAGCATATCTGGAATTGCTCTATCACACAATTCTTCGTCATATCCCGTTGTTGCGAAACGTCATATTAGAAAAGGAGACGAGATTCACGTTTTAATATTATTCGCTTCATCGGATAACAACTCTCGAAACAACGTCTCAAGAAGTGCTTGCTTATCTGGTAACCGCGACCTTGTGCCGAAACGCAGGTGAAACGCGTTTGTTGGGAATCAATACTCACTGCACGCACAAACGAGAGACAGAGGGAGAGAGAGAGAGAGAGAGTGCGAGCGAGCGATCAACCGAGGAAAATGCGCTTCTCCTTGTCGACGTGGCCGCATCGTCTATCCTGATGACGAAAGTGTCATCGATCGACCCAATTGCAGTTGTCTTTTCACGAGAAGTGTCGCGACGTCGGGAACGATATCGAGAGAGCAAAGATACAAATAGCCGTATACGATACGGATGACGGCGTTCGGACAGAAACGCACGGAATTGAAGAACGTAACCTTCTCGAAGACGAAACGCGAGGAGCGAGACATGGCTGATACGGGTTTTGTTATCTAACTGCCGGTGCTGATTGGCAAGCGTCTTTAAGAGCGTCGTCACTCTGACTTCTAAGTAACCGACGTTAGGAAGCGTCGTTTCGAATTGGAATAACAGCACACTGTCTGTTTATTACTTGCGTCACAAAGAAAAATTCCGATGGAAACAAATTTTTATTGATTGATTTTTGACGATTGAACATTTAAAGAACATTTTAAGATTCTTGAATTCTCTCCACGTTTGTTGACAGTGATTGTGTAATGACCACACTGGTGACTAATGTCTGTTATTTCACTGGTCAAAGATCATTAGAACTTCAGAACAGAATATCATCTTGTATTTTCGAAAAAATTTTAATGCCGTAATTGTTTACATATCGTACAGATTGTTACGTACAATCGGACAATTATAGAAAGTGTAGAATTATCTGTACCACAATTTGAAAGAATTGCGGACTACGTTGAATACAAGTTCCTTCTTCGTACGAGAAAACGAAATTCGCTGCATCGATCAGTGTTTAATTTAGTAGTTAATTCGAAGAAACCGCAATATGGGCTATTTTGTCGTTACTTAGCTTTAGTGTTCGCTCGGTCACAAATCGTACGTCACGCGCATCCTTTTGGGACATATCGACGACTTGAAAAGAAAGATCGACATCGAAAGCGAACAGCTTCACAAACACGTGTCAACTACTACTAACAGTCGCCGCTGCATCATGCCGGTATTTAACATCATCGCGCGGAGGTGCAAGGTGAGTGAAATGAGAATTAGAGAGAAATTATTGGCTTGGTTCCTGCGCGCTAATCTTAGGGGGATATATAATCAAATATTATTTCTTCTTACTATATTACGCGGTTCTCATCACACTTGACGTCGATAAACTTCATTTTTGGGTCACAGTCAACGTAATCGGCGAACAAAAACGAATAAGGCGACACTTGCTGAAAACATTTGCTTTGGACGGTCTTTTATCTTATTATTGGTCTGTTTATTTTTGTGTCAAGGCTGAAAAAAAAATGTCACATAAGTTGGAGTGATATAATATTGAATATTTAGATAACCTTATGAAATATTTTATATTTGCGTTTTTTATAACGCGTTTAATGTGGCCGTTTACTTTATTTTTATCACACACAGTTTGAAAGTCGCATATTTCCGGAATTAAATGCGACGTGTGTCCATTAATAGTCTAAATCTCGCGTTGAAAAAAAAAAAAACCACATTTTACCGTAGCGAATCGTGACGACGACGGCGCTTTGACCATCATTACCATGCAACGAGCACAGAGTTAACAGGTTGTTTCGCACGATAATCGCGTTGCGTTATCCGCGTTTCATTTGAGAACTACGTAGAAATTTTTCTTTTCATACGATCTCGATTTTGTGCTTTCGCATATTTAATGATAAGATACAACGCGTCACGTATGATAAACGTGTCTCGTTTTAGCGCCAAGGTTGCTGTCACTGATGTCACAGATCTTTTCGCCCGTCACATTAATTACGATTTCATTTAACGCCCTATTGTATAAAGATATTTATAGATCACTTAATGTGCGAGAAATAAGTCAACCCGAATATTTTGTCAGCTACTAAAAAAGATGATGTACTGACAGTTTTTTTTTAGTTTGTAGAATTGTCACACAAGTCGATGTACTAGATAATAATATTATAAATGTGCAAATTAATTTAAATTATTTTTTTAATCCATATTGCAATATATGTATATATATGTAGTTTGCAAATAATGTAATTTTTTTAAGCTCAGACTTTATACACGTTTTGTATGTTACTTACTATATTTTTTACATATAAATAATTTTGCGTGGTGCAAAAATTTTCCGATTAATTTGTGAAACATTCGCGTGGAAAAATCTTATAACGTTCGTAATTCAAACAGTAACGCTTCTCGTATTCTTCAAGTAATTATCAATAATCTGTTTGCAGTATAATCGGTTGACATGCAATCTGTAGATTAATCAGTTTATCAAAAGCACACTCGTGTTTTAATGTGCTAATCTACGTCACGTGCGTGATCCATCGCTTTCTAAGTATTGTCACGTATACTGATAATCTCTATCACAATCGAAGACTTTTTTTTTGTGAAATTGTACGTTTCGACACGCATATATTGAGTTAAAAATCGATAATTTATAAGTTAATAACATTAAGATCGCGATAATTTTTATAAATTAAAACATACTTCGGAAAAAAGCACTTTTGCGAACGATTCCGTTATTATAAATAATATAAAATTTGTTGTATTCTAACTGACAACTGACACATATCTTTCAATAAAAATGCGCAACAATCCGTTGTGCAATAAACATCGATATTATTGTTTTTGTTGTGACATATTATTGATCATTATCTCGCGATTAGGAAACAATGCGTGTATCGTTATCTCGTGCGTAATTATCTCGAGTATTTCCGTTTGAGAATAATCGTGCGCGTACTCACGGGTTAATAACCTTCATCCGGTGCGTGTCTCGGTGGAAATTCGGTGAATCGCGAATTGAATCGGATCCCGGACGATTTTACGGAAAGAGGAAACGCGTACATCGGAAACGCGTCAGAGCGACAGAGAAAAAGGATTGTTCCCTTTTGGATGTACCGGATGTCTGGTCGCGCCAATAGTGCGTTCACGTAATCCGCATCCGATGAACACTGTAACGATACGCTACCGTCGGGGATAATAGCTACATGCACGCGAAATCCTCGAAGCAGGCTCCGAACTGACAACGTCGGAGACGACGTTACGCACACATGCGCTCGGGTCCACGAAGAAGACACACGGTGTTACGTGTCCTCAAATAAAAGCGACAGCGGGATACTCATGTTACGTAACAACGCGCGGTAATCACGATAATTAGGTTGACGCGAGATAAAAAAAAAGGATATATCTGGATGTGAAGATGTGCATTAGTGCGGAATAACGCGATATGATAAGAAATATGCTCGCATAATACTTGATGATAATACTATAAGAAAACAGATACACAGATATCTTTCTAGATCATATAAAATCGATTATATTTAGATAAAAGTAGCAAGTTAAGATGTTTTC